TGGTCATCGGATGAAAGTGCGACGGTGGCCGACGGCAGACGGTGGTCGACGGCAGACGGTGGTCGACGGCAGAGAGCAGCGGTGCACGGCAGAGAAATCCGATCGTTGGTCGATGAGACCAGGAAATCAACATCGCCAGAGAAGGAGGACCGGTACTACACGATGAGGGGATCGGCTGAGGAGAGCGGAAAAATCGCCAGCGACGTTAACAACGGCGAGGAACGGGCCCTAGTGTGGCCGAAGCTTTACATCACTCTTTCAAGCAAGGAGAAAGAGGAAGATTTTCTGGCCATGAAGGGGTGTAAGCTTCCTTAGCGACCCAAAAAGAGAGCAAAACTCATCCAAAGAAGCTTACTTTTGGTGAGCCCTGGCGCGTGGTTGACTGATATGTGCCAAGAGAGATATGAAGTCAGGGAGAAGAAAAGAAACAAGAACTCTGTATTTGCTAATACTGGAAAAAAGACCAGAATTCTAAGGCAGAACTTGATTAGGGCAATTGGAGCCCATTAAAAACACATGTTAAAGAAGAGACTTTTAGGGGGCCGCCGTCATACATCAAAGACAGCGGAAGCTGATCAGACAAGCTCTGATACCAAGTTGAAAATAAGACTTATTTATTATTCTCAATCATAAAAAAACATTCTGATACCCTCTATTTGTAATAATTTAATTCTCCTAAAAAGGAAAATAAGGAAAATAAAATAAAACAAAAGATTATATATTTATTTCCTGTAATTAGGAAGATTCTAAAAATATTATTTCAAATTACAACAGTTTGTAAACATGGTTATATGTATGGTTAAAGAATGTTGTGAAAGGAATTCCAAGGGGGAAGTTCTTGTGGTTGTTTCAAGTAGTGTATGTATCAATGTAAAGATTCTGTATTGGGGGTTATCCTAGCATTCCAATAACCATCCAATCTCAAGTAGAGAAGGGTGGGTTATGTCGTGAGGAGTAACATGAGGTCCTAGTCTATGGCTTGATTCTTTTTCCATAATTGGTTGATGGATTAACCTTGTGTGGTAGCTTGGGTGGACAAACTGTTTCACCACTACAAGTGCAAAACTCACCAAAGTTCGACATTAGTAAATTTATCTAGATAGTCAACTCTAGAATGTAAGCTGATATGCTTAGGATTGTTTTATTTATCTGTGTTGATGTGTTTGGGATGTATGTTTCAGTTATATGTATGCTCTTTGGTAAATTAGCTTACCCTTCTTTTTGTGTCTGTTGGTTTGTTTCTTTTCTCTTTTTCAATAATCATCTAAATGGCGTGACTAGAGAAGGATGATTTTGTTGAGCAGGAGCTGGAGGGTGATGGTACAAATGTATAGACAGTAAGAGTAGTTTATGTGTACAGTTAATATTTTGTAAAACTCTAGTTAAACCTTAAGTTTTTGTATAGAAACTCTTAGTGTTAAAATGTCAGTTGTATATAAAGTTTGTTATTATGGTTATGAGTGGATAACTATAATGATATGTTATAGGTTTTCTACTAAGTTAACTGTTCTTGCTTATTAAATATGTGAGACTTCCATAGTAGTGTTAAAACTATTAAAAATGGGATGTTACAATCACATACAACTATTATAGATCAAATCCATTTGCACTATCCTTTTAAGTTGTACATAAATGCACAAATTCAAATAAGAGGGTAGCCTGAAATCCATCTAGCCATCAACTCTCTAGCTAGCTATTTTAGAGAACAAGACCCAAATGAGGCACATGCACTTACATCTAGCATATCCAGGTTTTAAAATGGAGGCTTCTCGGGTGGTCTGTTAATTGAAATGCTAATACGCTTTGAATCTTATGAAAATACTCTAAATTTATAAATAATCAAAATCTTTTAATGACTTAGCTTAACTGTAGCCATAAACTATATGTCTTAGTTTCCCCACACCATGTCATTGAAGTGTAGAAAAAACTTGTTTGAAGAATCCATTTACCTCAATTGGTATTTTTTTTTTCATTGAAAGGAAACAGGATAACTAATCCAGTTATTGAATTTCAATATTCAAATAAATGGATATATAATCCAGCATACAAGAAGTGCATAAATGAGAGAGGGATAGCAATCCTTAAAATCAACAGTTCCATAACTAAAGACTGAAGCCCAAAAGATATAGAAAACATTCATACAAAAAAGAACATCCCATAAATTTTATCTTTTGAATATCTTGGATAAAACACGTGTAGCATATACTATGTACCATGAAGAATAGCAGAAAACACTTGAGCGTCATAAAACAAAGAAAAGAAACGTAAGAGAGATACCACTTGCCGCGCTTGTGCTGGGGCTTTGGCCTGAGTAGTTATCATCCTCTTATCGTTCATGAAAATGGACAACTCAGTCGCCTAAGAGAAACATAAAAATGACAAAAAGCTTCAATCCCAAAAATCACGGTCCTAATAGATTAAAATGTTCAAAACTATTTACCATTGAAGATCGCAGTGTCAAAGATTTTACACCAGTAAAGGGAAAGCCATCTTGGCCCTTTAATAAATGAGGATAGAAGCTCCTGAAATTACCCTCAGAACCTGATCAGGCAAAAACTAACTTGAATGTAAACAAGTAGATGTTAAAGGCCAGTTCCTAATCGTTCACATACATCTCTCTTATAAAATCCCTTTCGCATAGAAATGAAGCAACAAAACAAATTTAAAGTAGATTACCGTTTGATATAGCAGAGGAATAAGTCTTGCAGCTAACGAGTCTGAAAATTTAAACACACCAAATTGATAGTAAGGAAATGCAAATTGCGCCATGACTTTCATTTCAAGGTCAGAACAACCATTTGGGTTGATAAAGAATATGCATTTTCTCAGATCCCGATGAAAGCAGTATTTTTACTCACAGATACGACGAAGATTCTCCAATTTGAGATGAACGATAAAGTGTGCGAACTAAATGTAAGCGTTTGAACGGCGTCGTCATCTTCAACATGGACTCAGAAACATTAATGTTACAATTACACCTTTGATAACAGATGAACGGAGGATGCAAGATTCACCTCCACACAGGTCTCTGGTTTTTCAAGGGTTTAAGCCTTCTTTCATTAGAAAAGGTAGGAGCTTAGAATTTAAGGAATTTCTTTTTTCACCCCATAAGTTGCTTCTGCACCCTGTAAGATTTAAAACTGTGTAGTTGTTTTAGTTTTAATTATTTTTTTTACTTTTGATTTTCAACAATCTTACATTTTTCTAGTTTTGAGTTTTTTTATTATTGTGTAATATGAAAAAAAAGAGTTATTACTCTGGAATTGTAAAATTCAAATTTGAATTGTGTAATGTTATTAATTAAAACATAAATTTGAGTAATGTTATTAATTAAAATATAAAATTGACTTCCATATTACTGTTTGAAACACAATTTTGTAAGGCTGTCTCACCTTACACTTCCAATAATTTCATATTATATCTCCAGTTTTAAAAAATAATTTTAGAAATTATATTTTTCTTTAACGAATTTTAAATTTCGATGAAACTTTGAAAATTTTTTTGTCAGATTTCAAAATTTAATAAAAAAAAATCATTTATTAAATTTCAAAATTTGATGAAATAAAAACAATGAAAGGTAGAGTATTTTGAATTGTAAAAGATAGTTTTAGAATTTTAGAAAAATTTGGAAGTGCAAGATGAAATGATTGGAACTGTAGGATGAAACAATCATTTTGTAATCTAACTTGCACAATTTGAAAGTCAAATGTGTAAGAGAATTCTATTCTTACTAAGACGAGCTTCAAAGAAAAAAAAAATATATATATGGTATTTTCATAAGTGTAGAGAGAAGTGGGAGGTGTAGAAGGAAAGTATTGGGTGTAAATAGAAAAAGTTTATAATTTACTTAGAAGAGTATTTGACTGGAAAGCATATTTTTCCTACACCCCATGATTACTACCTCCACCCCATACCAGCAACCAAATCTGCAACTGCTTCAAACTACACCTTCGTTTTCAATTGTCATCGTACTCTTCGATAGGTGAAAGAAAAAGAGAAATTTGTTCTAGAAAATATTATATATGTTGTGGAAAATATGTTCCAAAAGTCTTAATTCCAGAAATGTTGAAACATAAGAACGCATCTCATATGTTCATATGTTTCAAAAGTTTGATCTGGAAAGTTTATTTTGGAAAACTCATTTTGAAAAGCTTGTTTTCGTAGGAAAAAGGTGTTTTAAAAATCCTATTCTGAAAATCTTGTTTAAAATTTTTTACAATGCTTGTTTGGGAAGATTTTTGCAACCAGTAATCTAAAAGTCACCTTTAGAAGAATAAAATAGACACTATATTTTTACTTTATTTTGTTGACAAGAAAAATTAATCTAACTTAAACTAAAACAATTTTTAATCATGTGTTCGAATTAATTTCAACTTTTTATTTTTTTACAACATATCACTGTATAATTGAAAAAAGAAACACTATATATTTTACCAAATATTAATAAATCATATTAAGACTTTTAGGTTTTCAAAAGTTGGAGTTTGATTTTGCTGGTCATTATCCCAATGATGCCAATTAAGAAACATTAAATACATTATCATGTTAAACACTTTTAGTCACTACTAAAAAAGTGGGTCAAGTGACTTCTATATGTTCAGTACTATTAATTTCTTGAATTCTTAAATAGAGCATTTTGAATAACATTTTTAGAAGAAAATAATTTTTGTTATCATCCAAAATTGTGCACTTGAAAGCTTTAACACAACATTACAAATATATCTTTAAGCCACGTGAGAACTCTAAGCAAATTATTTATTGTCTGCTGTTAGGTAAAGCTAATTTGTGTCCTCTAACATTGGCACAAAAACAATACATATTGGTTTCTTTTCAAAAGAATCTAATAACAAGATCAAGAATCCTGTTTCTGCTACAGATTTGGCACATTATTGCTCACGGGCAGCCCAAACAAATAATAATAAAAGGATGAATCTGTTCACTGCATGTAACGCATACCGAGAACATGTGGGATTTGTTAAAGCTAATGCATCTGTCTTTTCACTCTCGTTGGATTGCATGGAAACAGTTGTCATTGATATGTGTAAAGGTTCACGGGAAGCATTCTAATACAAGATAAACCATCTCTTTAACTTATGGAACAGTCTTTGAATAATGCAATAAGTCTGGTTTTGTTGAAAAGCATAGAGTCTAGCTATAGTTGGTATTCTGTTTGTGTTATTGGTATTTGGCAGGAATAAAATGAGAGTTGCCATGGATTCTAAGAATGTTGTTGCTTTTCAAGTTGTTACATTTTGCTTGTGTTTGGCTGCTGCAAATTCGATTGATTTCAGTTACCCTGCAGTTTTCAACTTTGGTGATTCAAACTCAGACACAGGTGAACTTGCTGCAGCTATGGGATTTTTAGTTTCCCCGCCTAATGGACAGAAGTACTTCAAAACCCCATCTGGGAGGTTCTGTGATGGACGTCTCATTGTGGACTTTCTGAGTAAGTTTCTAATCTTTCATGAAATTGTCACACTCGTACTCTTACTAGTATGAAATAGGCAAATAACAACGACATCTTAGGTTGGTTACATTCTAAAAGTCTCTTACCAATGAAAGTATCTTAGGTGTATATAATTTTATGTGCATCTTTTATTTTTATTAAAGTTGGATTTTGTTTGTATCGGAACACGTTTAATGAATTTGGATTTTCTGCTGGATTTTTCTGTGTTATTTTGTTGTGTTGCCTTTAAAATACGCTGATGGATACTGATTTTGATGTTTTAAGAGATATTAAAAAGAAATTTAATATATCAACATCAGTTTGGTACCAAAAATCCATAGAGAATCTGGACTGCCATCATCTAATGTTACAAATGTGAGGTAACTAAGCATATGAAACTCTAAGGCTTGACTATCATCCATGCAATTGTGAACATATAGCCAAGTGAGCAGCACCAAATGTATCATTTGCATTGACATGATAGTTCCATGTGTTGCTGTTGGTTGTGCATTGCAGTGGATGCGATGAAATTGCCATTCTTGAATGCCTACATGGATTCTGTGGGGTTGCCAAATTTTCAGCGAGGATGCAACTTTGCAGCAGCAGGTTCAACCATCCTTCCAGCCAATGCAGCATCCATCAGGCCGTTCAGCTTTGGGGTTCAGGTATACCAGTTTCTGAGATTCAGAGCTCTGTCTCTTCAATTGCTTCAAGGTATTTGATAAAATAACGAACTTTGTTCTTACTACTTTGTTTTCAAAATCTAGCTTGCTGTTTATCCGTTCGTTTGAAGGAAAGTGATCTCAATAATGTTTCAGGAAAAAAATTTGATCAGTATGTCCCTGCTGTAGACTCCTTTGAGAAGGGGTTATACATGTTTGACATAGGCCAGAACGATCTTGCTGGTGCGTTTTATTCAAAAACATTGGACCAAATACTCTCCTCAATTCAAGCAATTTTATTAGAATTTGAAAGTGGAATAAAGGTTGATAGCATAATATTATTTTCTCCTAAAAGTTTCATTTTATTACTTCCATAAAAATAGTTATACCGAACTTAACAATCTCTCTGTGATGTGTGAGCTAGAAACTTTATGATAGCGGGGCAAGGAATTTCTGGATACATAACACGGGTCCACTTGGATGCTTGCCTCAGGTTGTTGCCAAATTTGGCACTAATCCATCAACGCTTGATGAACTAGGATGTGTTAGTTCACCCAACCAAGCTGCCAAAGCCTTTAATATACAGCTTCAAGCCTTTTGCAGTAAATTGAAAGGACAGTATCCAGATGCAAATGTAACACATGTTGATATCTTTACCATAAAATCAAACCTCATTGCAAACTATTCTAAATATGGTGAGTGTAATTTCAGAAATTTATATGTTGCTTCATCTCAGTTCCAATTACTATTGATTTCACCATTTTTTGGGGTAATGATCATTTATTCCCAGTACTTATAGATATTATTTTGAATACAACTGAGCGACTAACATGAATTTTGATTCTTTGTTGAGTTTTTTGTGTCGTCCCTCTACCGAGTCTTCAAAATACACCCTCTACCGAGTCTTCAAAATACACCGATGAACACTGAGTTTGATATTTTAAAATATATTAAAACTTTCTTTAAGTATACCAATATCAAGATATTTTGAAGGTTCAGTGGAGAAACAATACAAAAAACCCAGAATCTAAACTCGACTAACACTTACACTGCATGACACTTGATGGGAATCCACTGCATCACAATTCTGATTGCAGCAAAAATACCCCAGTTATCTATTACATTCAAAATCGTTATAATTCTAGAATTGTGTCTAAGTATGATGAATATAGGGATCAAGATAGGCCAATATGGCATTATTTCTTTTCTAACACGAGTACTTTTCGGTCAAACACTACTAAATTTCTGTGAATATATGTTTGCAGGGTTTAAACAATCCATTATGGCATGCTGTGGATATGGAGGTCCACCATTCAACTTTGACAGCAGAGTTTCTTGTGGACTAACAAAGATCTTGAATGGGACTGAAATAACAGCAAAAGGTTGCAACGACAGCAGTGTGTACGTAAGCTGGGACGGAACTCACTACACTGAGGCAGCAAATCAACATGTGGCATCACAAATTCTCACTGGAAACTACTCCACTCTTTTTTAGGGAGGCTAAATGCCTTCCTTCTCTAGCTCAAGTTCTAAACCCTCATCTGTTTATTGTTTTAACAATTTCATTCTTATGGTACTGTTGTAGTGAAACGAACAACTATATGATTCAGGATGAAATAATCAAATAAAATGACTTTAAGAACTGGAACTCCTTCTACCTGACTTTAAGAACCCAACTGGATAATAACATAGTCAAATGCATATACTTTGGAATTGAATTTACAAGAAAAAACTTTCATCTTATTCTTCAGCCTTCCCACACTCAATTGTAAGATGAGCATGGCTACAACTGCATATTATGCATCTGAATATAAAGAGTAAGAATTTGAAAGACAGATCTACTTACATTATTTTATTTTTTGGATACATAAGCATAATATTGTGCCATTGGAACAACGAATGCAATGACCAACAAACCTCCAACAACCAGAGTGAATTGTCCACGCTTTTCTTCTGTCTCTTCCTTGGTCTTGAAGTTAGACTCACGTTTGTTGTCTTTAAATGAAGGCCCACCAGGATCTGGAAGGCCATCAATGGCAGCAACTAGACGTTTAGCTGTGCTATAAATAGCTTCATTGTACTTCTCATCCGTAGCCAAAACTGCATACATAAACCACACATAGCTAGTTTTGTACCCCTCCAGAAAATCACAATGATTGTTGTAGTTCATTAACCACTGTAAATGGTTAAACATATCTTTAGTCTTATACATGTCATGACTTCTCAATATCGTCCCTAGAAAAAAAGTAATTAAATTGGTCTTTAACATGTAAACATAACCGATATGGTTCATGCCACTGCTAACCCCTTACACATTATTAATTTGTGTGTCCTTTATACATGTGATCTATTCTTAATTTGGTTGCCATACACGTAACATGTAAGAAGCTCACAGTAAAAGGCAATGGAAAAGAACAGAGTAATAGTGAAGTATCTCTGTATTGTATTTTGGATATAGTAGTATATGGTTTTCTTACATTAGGGAGTGAAGGCAAGCACAAATGTCAGTGAAGCAGAATACAGAGAAAGAGAAGATTAGAAATTTCCTCCAAGGGCCAGAGATAATAGATTCTCAAAATATTCTCCTCTTTCTTCCCTTCTCTCTAATCCTTATATAGTGACTTCATTCACTAGATGAATTCCTTCAACGTTTGACTGACCCTCCTCTTACGCTCACTTTTTTCTGTTAGTCTTGTTGTGTATTCTGCACAACGATTTTCCCAAGTTCCTTACTAATCCATTCATCATTTCCATGTGACTCCTTATCCTCAAGGTTGAAGTTAGGATAATCTATGCTAACAACAGTGGTGTCTTCCCAAGTATCCTGATTTGCATCCAAACAATCTGATGATAATATGTTGATCACCTCTTATAATAGTTCGAGAATCTAGAATTTTACTTGTTTGAACCATAGGACCGAACTCATTGGTGAGTAAAGGAAGTGACAGATATGACTTTTGATGATCATCTTTGCATCTTTTCAGTAAGGTCTGATGGAAGACTAGATGAATTTTTGCTGAAGCAGGCAAGAGTAACTCATATGCTACTATACCAATTTTCTGGATTATGGGAAAATGACCAAAATATCTGAGTCCTAGTTTCAACCAAAACTAATCACCTTCCTCAAAATACAATGGAATACACTTTTTATCAACAAAATTTCTTCATTTGATGTTGAGCCTTGAGCAAATGAAATTTTAGAAGGCTAAATCTCATTGTTGCAACAACTCTTGTAGGGAGGGTGGATTATTGTGGTTCAATTGGTTCTAGGTAATGGCTGGGGGATCTCTGCTACAAACAACTCAAAAAGGTAGTCATGCCATTGCTATATTGGAAGGAACTACTTTACCAAAATTCTGCGCAAGGATGTAGCTTACTCCATTCCCTTGGATTATTCACTATGAAGCATCTCAGGTACATCTCTAGACACCTATTGAGGCCTCTAATTGTCCATCACTTCGAGAGTGAAATGTTGGGCCCATGGCAAGGGTAGTGCTACTCAGTCAAAAGTTGCTAGTGAAGACTCAGTCACAATCGGATGATATTGATTTTCAGAGGCAATGCAATTTCACAATGTGTTTCATGAATACTTTAGTAACTTGATTGCTAGTTTAATTGGTTGAGTTTGTGAAAATGAGCATATTTAGACAGTTGGTCTATAACTACCAAAATAACTGCAACGCCACTAGAGGGAGATAAACCAACAACAACATCCATGGCTAAGTCTTCCTAAATTTGGGCAGGAATGGGAAGATGTTGCAATAGACCAGTAGGTAGCACGTTATTCTTTTTAGCTTGTTGGCATAGGAGACATTGCTGCACGTGGTTATTAATGTCCCAGTATATGCCTTAAAAAAATTGGACCACAATTCTAGCCACAGTGTGCAATTCCGGCATGTCCTCCAATGGGAGAGATGTGAAATTCTTGGAGAACTTGTTGCATCAAGGTATTGAAAAATCTGGAACTACTAGAACTTGCGCCATTGTGATGGCAAATGGCCTCCTTTAATTGCTAAAACGTTGTTGTACCCTGAGAGTTCCACCAAAAACATCCTTTTTTAGCAAATTAGTGAGAGGTGTAGCTATGGATACACAACTTGTAATAAATCTCCAATAGTATCCAGTTAAGCCCAAAACACTCCGTAGTTTCTTTGATGTAGATGGAATCTTCCAGTTCAACACTGCTTGCACTTTGGACTGATCCGTTACCATTCCACTTCCCAAAACTGCTTGACCAAGACAGTCTACTTCAACTAATCCAAATTGAAATTACAAGTGTGAATTTGTCATTACAGGTATAACAACCCTTTGTCCTTCCTCAACTGCATTTCGGATGGTGACATTTTTGACATTGTTAGGCATCTAAGAGTTNATGGCCTCCTTTAATTGCTAAAACGTTGTTGTACCCTGAGAGTTCCACCAAAAACATCCTTTTTTAGCAAATTAGTGAGAGGTGTAGCTATGGATACACAACTTGTAATAAATCTCCAATAGTATCCAGTTAAGCCCAAAACACTCCGTAGTTTCTTTGATGTATATGGAATCTTCCAGTTCAACACTGCTTGCACTTTGGACTGATCCGTTACCATTCCACTTCCCAAAACTGCTTGACCAAGACAGTCTACTTCAACTAATCCAAATTGAAATTACATGTGTGAATTTGTCATTACAGGTATAACAACCCTTTGTCCTTCCTCAACTGCATTTCGGATGGTGACATTTTTGACATTGTTAGGCATCTAAGAGTTGAGTGAATGTTTTTTAGTTTAGGGTAGGTAAAAGGGGAGGGCGGTTGTTTGTTTTATGGTTTGTGTTTAGGTTTCAGGTATAAGTGGAATGGCAATATGGTTTCTGTTAGCCTTGCTTTCCTTACCCTCTGTCACTTGTATTCCGCATAATTGTTTTCCCAGGTTCCTTTCTATCCAATTCATCATTTCCTTGTGATTCCTTGTACAGTGACTTTTCTAACCTCGTAACACATTTTTAATCACATATACGAGACCAAATTAAGAATGCGTTATATCAAATTAAGAATGCGCTATATCAAATTAAGAACGTGTTATGTTTACAAGAACCAAACTAAGTGCTTAAAGGGATCAAATTAAGAATTTTCGACACATGTAATAACAAAATTGTGTTTAAACTTATTAGTGTTAATTTCATATACTGGATGATTTCTAATTGTTTGATACTATAAAAATCTTTGTGCATGACAATTAAATTCCAGTAAATAATTTTGCAAACTTGTAAATACCTGGAAGGTTCTCTGAGACAGTGGCATCAAGGATGTTTTCTCCCACAGCTTGGACAAAAGCTGGACCACCAGTGACTGCTCCTTCTTTCTGACTGGTGATAAGAACCACAATACCCTTGTTGTTGCCTTCTTCTACAGAGGGATACCAACGCTCAAGGACTTGATCAGCATACTCAAATGCATCAGCTTTGCTCTGCAATTAGCCACATTCATACAATAAAAACATTTCATTTAGCATTTTGTTTCATGCTCCGTTCAGTTGCATGGCAGAGAACATAAACAAAGTTGCACAACAAACCAAATGCTTCTTCACAGAGCATCATGCGGAAATATGAAAGACAGTTTAATTATTTAATCACATAATTGTGTAACTAACCGTGAGTTTTCTAACAGTGATAAAATTGATGTGGAAGTTCTTCCTTGACTCCAAATCAGACAACAACCGCTTCAAATCAGACCTGGTCACCCTACTAAGAACTCCTGCATCATCAACCACATAAGATTCTTGGGGTGGACCCTCGTTAAGCACATCAAACTCAGATGCCAGAGCATTGTCACTGAACAAAACTGGGCTAAAGTTGAGGGCCAAGGAGATAGCCAAAGCTGCTAAGCCCTGTTGAGCATGAGACAACCAGGTTGTGCATGAAGGTTTAGGAGATGAAGTTTGGTTCTTTCTGAGACTGGAAACAATGGGTTTGGAGCAAAAGAGAGAATTTGACTTGGGTTGGGGAGAGGGAGCCAAGAGGATTCTTGAGGGTGAAGGTTTGATGTTGAGGAGTGGAGAGAGAGAGTGAGGAGGAAAAATGGCTCCCATGATGAGGATCAGCAAGGATTCAATTGCAGAAGGCTCCTTCTCTTCCACATCATTCCTTGTCCTCTGATTTGGTTCAGATTTCGGGTGGTCTCGATTGGTCGGCAGTGTTTGAAAGTGGATAACGTCTATTAGCCATGTGGATCTTTTGGTCCACAGAACTAAAAGTGTTCATTTTTTCCAAAGCGAACCTGCATTTCTAAATAACTAAATAAGCCTATTTCAATTTTTTATATATTATTTTCCTTGATTCATAAATAATGTTTACTACACTAAATAAATTAACGTGGTTATGCTCTGATTAACTAGCTATTTTTATTTCTGAACTTTTAGCATTTCTTACCTATAATGTCTTCTTGAAACAGTGTTTAAGCTTAAACCGTAATTTTTGTCTGATCATAATTGTTCCTCTGTGAGGATAATGTTCTAAAAAAGAAGCTACATATTACAATGAATCATGTGCCCCTGAATTGGGTAAACTTCAAAATCAATTTATTTTGGCTGAAACTAATGATACCTCTGTCTCCATGAACTTTCTTTCATGGCCGTTCTTTTATCCAATCTCTGCATCACCAACAACACCAAACCCTTCTTCTCTTTCACCTCAAAACCCATAATTTGTGAGGCCAAGAATTTCACCTCCAAACGGAACCTTATCCTTCAAACTTCTCTGGTCAGCATTGGCATTGGCCTAACTCCTCGAGTCTCACTTGCGCAATCGTCACCTCAAACGTTGCCGTCGAAATCGCTTCTTTCTGGCATTGAAAACACGTCATCTTGGTTTCAGTTCTACGGTGATGGGTTTTCCATTCGAGTCCCGCCAGAGTTTAAGGATATCATGGAACCAGAGGTGCACTTTTAACTACTTTTCTCTCTCAATTTTAATTACAATCACTGAATTTATTTCCTTGTTTAACTTAGTACATTGTAATATAGAAATCTACAATTGAAAGATGAGTGTGAAATGTGTAAATAGAAACTTGAAGGTGTCTACAGCTTTTAGTAATGAGGGGTTTGCTCAACTAAGCTGAATCCAGTTTTCAGTTAGTTGGAGTTTGATGTAATAGTTAGTTAAGTCATTTTTATGGTTGAATTAGTTAGTCTTATTAGTTGAATTGAAATTGTACAACTATATATAGCTTATTGATCTGCGTAATGCACCACACAGTAATATTAATTTTGAGAACTTGCATTTTAGCAACAATTTCATTGAAGGTTTTGAAACTTTGTGAAACTTAGTTGAGTGAGATAATATTCCATTTACTTGTAGGATTTCAATGCTGGTGGGTCTCTTTATGGGGACAAGGCAAAAGCAAAAACATTTTCAGCACGGTTTGCATCATCCGATGGGTAATTTTATATTGAATTCCCAGCAATTCCACATTTTCTTGCAATGCACTTGCGTATTTTTAGAATGAACAGGAGCATGTTCTCTGCGATTGTAACAGATCTGAGATTCTAAGTGTTGTCACTCGTCCAACCAATCAACTTAAAATCACCTTCTTGCAGGTAATCATGCTGTCAATGACATTTATTATACACATGTACTTTTCTCCCCCAAATTATATCAGTAGGGCATAAAATTCACCATGGATGAGTAATTAGTAAAAGATAAGCGAGCCATTTGCTATTTGTACATCAGAAACCCTTGTCTAAGTCAACGTGATGAGTCTGCTCCGGCTTGGCCTTTAGATTCTGTATTGGTTTGGTTCCTTTCTAGTTCAATGTTGAGTTAGCATTGAGCTCTTTCTTATTTGAAATTTTTCCTTTTTATGAGCTTGCACTAGAGCTTGGAAATTTTTGCTACTCATGATAATTTCATAAAGGATGGAGAAACTGGTTTAGTCCATATAATTCATAATCATTTTACTTCGTCATGATTTCACTATCAGAACATATGAATAAGTCACTGTAACTGAAATTATATCTAGTCCTGTTTGCTATTCTTTATGAGAACCCCTCAAGGAATTTACGTATTCTTCTCTGATTAGAGCAGGCTCAGAATTTATCTGATTTAGGGTCCCTGAAGGAAGCAGCAAAAATATTTGTTCCAGGTACAACTTGTTTAAATGCCTTCATGTTTCTGTAGGTTCAGAAAGAAGTTAATTTTATCAAATTTTTTTTTTCGTTGATTGTTATATCCAACATTTAGTTTTTCAAATTATACGACATGCTTCGTTGCTCTTTCCGGTTACTTATAGTTCTTGGTATTAGTATTTCATTCTTCCCATGATGTGCATGCAGGAGGGTCCAAACTTTACTCTGCAAGATCAATAAAAATAAAGGAAGATGAGGGTTTTACGTAAGTTCATTTTCAACTGACTGAAACTATATGGACCAAAACTTTTCTCCTTTTCAGGACAACATACAAAAATAGTCATTTTCTTTATATTTCTTTCTAAATAAAAAACAGAGTTTGTCTTAAGAACAGAATGGCTAAAAGTAAATAGCATTCATATCCTTTCCCCCAATATTTGATTGAATACTCAAAATGCTAATGTAGAAAATTCTGGGTGTGAATTAATTTTTTAAACATTGCTATTTCATTTGGAACTAAGAATGGAAAAAAGAGTCAAGGCTAGCTTGACAACTCGGTGGACTAGGTTGTAAAGTTCAATTCATTTTCAATTGATAGGTCAGCTCGGCTTGGTCTAGCCCATTTTTGGCATGCCAATATCGGATCAGTTGGCCCTTTTTACCACCCTATATGGAACTAACCTTATTAATGTGTCTCTATAATATTTAGTCTTTGTATTGCATCAAATTCCAATACATTATTGGCTTTTACAATTCCAGGACTTACTATTTCTATGAATTTGGTAAAGATGACCAGCACGTAGCTATGATGACTGGTGTCAGCAATGGAAAGGTTTGTTGCTTCATCCATTTACTGATATAATTAGCCTAGTGGCGGAAGCAAGAAAGACCCTGGACCAGGGGGATAGTTTTCTTAATAAAGAATAATTATTAATATCATGAAATATACTAATGTGCATATGTTTATATCAATATATTAGTATGTTTATCACTTGACAGTAAGATCAATAAGAAATTTAAAAAGTGTAAAAAATAAATATATTTAATTATAAATTTAGAACATTAAGAGGACGAAACTGTCCACCCTCAATTCGGTGTAGGTTCGCCTCTCTCCACATCCCAGTATACTGATAAGCAATGGTAGGAATAAATCACTGCCAATTGGTCATCAACTTCTGCTAGTTAAGCCAATACCAGTAGAGGAAATTCTCCTTTTTTTTTTCTGTGGTGATACACATCAATCACTTTATATTTCGCCAACATAAATTACAGAAAAGTAAGATACCTGGCCCTTATTATATTCTGTAGGCTTTTATTGCTGGAGCAACTGCACCACAGTCGAAGTGGGACAGCGATGGTGTAAAGCTTCGTTCTGCTGCAATATCATTAAAAATTTTGTAGCCATGTACTGATTTTTTTTAGCTGGGTATGTCACTCATAATTTCAACACTTAAGTGGTATGGTTTTTAATATTTTAATCTAGTGTAACATTATATGCTATTTTAAGTCACAACTGGTGATGTAGGCCATTCATTTGATAAATGTCTAATCATTCTATTCTATGGGTTCAATGACTTGTCAAACAAATCTTTCTAGCTTCTATTCCATAATAATGTTTTTCTTTTTTATCTCTTTCTGATTTGAAGCAGTTCTCTGTTTGTCGTCTGCATGACTGCATAAACCTTAACATCTTGAGCGCTTTCAGCTGCCCGTCAAAGCTGAAAAGATGTTAATCATTGGACATTAAATTAACATTCTTTTTTAATGTTTTAAAGCAATTGCTTGTACTGATTACTGAAATTTTTATCTAATATGATGGGAAAGATCCATCATTCTAGTTACTGAGGTTTGGAATAGATGAATTGGAATTGGGTTGGTGTTACAAGGAGAACCAGGGACAAAATCCAAAATGTGAAAGGTTGTATTATTGTTCCTTAAAATGATTGAAAGTAACTTGGATTCAATAATGACGTCTGAAAGTATGATTGGAAGGTACAGGAAAAGGGATAAACTTCTGAGACAGACGATTTTATTCCATTTAGCATGATACCAAGATTTAGAAAGCACAAATGCAACTCGAGACAACTATGATGCAGACAAGTACTGAATGATACACAACTACCTAAATTGTATATTTGGATAGTATGCATAAGATCATTCGTTCTAATCTCAAGGTGATCATTATAAAAGAAATAAAATATTATAAGATGCATAGTAGCACTGAGGGCAATTATTTTAGATTTTGGATTGATTTAAACAAAAAATATTGATTTGTGTTTGGGCATGATATCTTTACCAGCAAATTTCATTTCACTCGAATGACTTTTTTTTTTCTGTAAGAAAAATGTCTAAAATAGCGTGTTTGAGAACCAAACTTCCTTTCGAGGTGTTAAAAAACATAATTTGAGTCCTAGAGGTTCAATGAATTCTATCCAAAATCAATCACAGGACTCATTGTGCAGATGAAAAAAGGTTATCAAAATTGCTTTTATTGGTTCTCTTCTGATAATGGACTCAAAAGAACAATCTGCACGGAATACATGCTAACTTATGACCTCCATTTTGCCTCACATGGCATAATTAGGGAAAAGGACTAGCTTACCAAATAATGTGTGATACTATAAACTTGAAATGCTAAAAGGAAATGCAAACAGCAAGTCAGTCTAGTGCCTGAATGTTAGGTTTCTTTCAATGTACAGAAATAATTAAAAAAAGAGAAAATTAGACTTGCAGTTTGTTGTCACTTCTCAGCGTTATCTAATATGTGCTACCCTCCACGTTGTGACAAAACTCTCAAACTAGTTTGATATTTATCGGTGTATAGAACCAAACCACGCGGACCAAATTTATATATAACTCACCTCAGTAATCATCACCACTGTCAGAAAAGACAACAAACTTATTAAGTACTTAACCTGAATGCTCGCAATGGCTTTGTTACTGCCACCGCTTCTTCTTTCAACTTCCTATCTCAGCACAAGCACCATTGTGGCTCTCTGTGTATTCTTCACCCTCCTAGGCACTTGTGTCATCATTGGCCATCTTCTGGAAGAGAATCGGTGGGCTAATGAATCCATCATTGCCCTCCTTCTGGTATACAACACTACAACTCAACTCATTCTTCTACTCTCCACGTACGTACATGTAATATTGTGCTTCTAGAGTTTCTATATTAATATACTATATGGTACATTTTGCTTGGCTTGCTTAAAAAACTTGCAGGGGTTGTGTGCTGGGACGGTGGTGTTGTTCGTGACTAACTTTAAAAGTGCCAAGATTTTAATATTCAGTGAAGACTTGTTCTTTCTCTACTTGCTTCCCCCTATCATTTTCAATGCCGGGTAAGTATGCTTAAAAGTTATTGTGATGATTGATTCTAAAATCATGATCGTCTTATAACAAGCACAGGAGATTTTCTACTGGATTGTCTACTTAGACGATTTAGTAATAGTGTTATGACGGAATGGTGGTGTAGTAGTCTTTAAGCGCATCTATGAACATGAGAGTGTTTGGTAATTGGATGCGTCTGAAGAACACTAGAGGATCTTATACGTGCGTATGATAGACATGTCTAGTAGCCTTCTAGCTAGATCCTCTACTCTTTTTTATATGATGATATAATGCGTTCAGCATCTCAACCATTGTAAAAATCTTCAGTTACACTCAAAATCTATATATAGATGTTTACCACTCTACGAATAAGGTTCTAATCTCAAAATGTGTTGGATCTAATGTTTCTGTCATCTCTTTTTCTTCTTGTTTTCTTTTTGTTGTTGTTAAACCAACAATTGTCACTTTTCTCTATCTATCTACTATTTCCATATCAGTTATTTTACTCATTACTTATTTTATTTTTTGTATCATTTCAAATGGCATGTTAGTTTCCAAGTCAAGAAGAAACAGTTCTTCAAGAATTTCACCATTATACTGCTCTTTGGAGTCATTGGAACAGTTATTTCGTTCTGTCTTATATCTGTCGGTAAGATCTCCTTTATCTGGTAACCATTCAGTTTCAAATCGTTTAATTTCAGACGCACTTAGCCTCCTTATGTTGAATACCAATGAAAAACAGTTGCATTGCTTTCATTGTCAATTACACAATCTATGTGAAAAGAACATATTAAAGACTCTATAATTTCTTCTGCAACTTCTCTAGGTGCCCTTATGCTCATTCAATGGATTGGAATATCTAACCTTGGCATAAAAGATTACCTAGGTGAGAAATAGTTTTTGGTTTAGAACAATCTCACTCACTATCCCTTAATCTAATCAGCACTCGTCCTTCTATTCTGATGACTGTTCGTGTGCCGTGCATATGAAGCCATCGGTGCCATACTGTCAGCAACGGACTCAGTTTGTACATTGCAGGTACACTCTAACATTGGTGGAGATACAATCTATATAAAAGAAAATAGTTTATTCTGTAGAAGGTTTTTACTGCTATTTAATCACAAGTAAACATTAAATTTAGCGTCTTTCACTATAACTACATTAGAAATCATACATACCCTGGTTTTTCATTCGAAATTAAAATCTTCATATATCATCATTTAAATGCCTTCCTTTTTCCATTCTTGTGTTGAAGGTTCTCAATCAAGATGAAACACCCTTGCTTTACAGCATTGTATTTGGGGAGGGAGTAGTAAATGATGCCACGTCTATTGTGCTTTTCAATTCGGTCCAATCCCTTGACTTCAGCAGCTCCAATTCTATGACAGCCTTGAAATTGTTGGGGACCTTCCTTTACCTCTTCTGCACTAGTACTGCCCTTGGCATAGCAGTAAGTTTAACTTTAAAAGACTCTTTAGAGCAGACTTTCCGGGAGGCAAAATTATGCCATAGTGAGAAATTCTGTATGTTAATATAAGGCAGCATATTAGTGCTTCCTATAGTTATATTTTCTCTTTCTGTAATCACCTCTCTCATTATCTGTATTAACAATAAACAGTCTGAAGAAATATTTTCTCCATGAAAGCATTACATGGACTTGATTCAACTACCCCATTTGTGAGCAAACAAAATTAGATATACAATTACTTAGGTGAACTGTTTTTCAAACAAAATTGAAGTTTCACCTCAGTAATACATAGTTATTCTGATAGGAGAGTAACACCAACAATACTTAAAAAAAATGGCATTCAACTTTCGTGCAATTTTAAATTACTAATTGTTGAGAGTGTTGAAGCAATTTATTCTGACTTGCTGTAGATGATGACTTTTTCAGGTTGGCCTTTTAAGTGCTTATATTTTGAAAAAACTCTACCTGGGAAGGTGTGGTTTCCTTCCCTCTAGTTTACTAATCTTTCAAATAGCTTCCTTTGGCTTAAAAGTTTGTAATTTACAATTAGAACCCAATTACAAACTTTTAGAATAACCCAATTACTAAAGTTTTGAATTATGTTAATCTGTTTTAAAACTTAATGAAACTATAGAATGGTATAATAGATTAACAAATATAACTTGTACTATGTTTGACCGATGGCTTTGTGCAATCTGTCTTATATAGTGCCTTTCATTTGCAGGCATTCTACTGATCGTGAACTTGCACTTATGATGTTGTTGGCATATTTATCATATATGATCGCTGAGGTACAAAACCACCATCTACAAAATACATATTTTGTTTTGTTTACTTTCACTTCAATCTTTAGGTTAAAATATATCCTCAATTCTTATATATGGTACTTACTTTAATTTGATCCGTGCATAATAAAATTAAATCCATGTGCCCAAAAGTTATGAAAAAGATTATAACAAAAAAAGATCAAACATTTATACATACTGAGTAATTTGAAAACTTTTGCATCAATATTGAATTGAAAATGAGGGCCATACCAAAAGTATATGCAGTTTTCATCAAATCCTCGTTAATTTGGTACCACTTACCAGCGATAAATACAGTATCAAGAACAATATGTGTTATTCAAATACTTAACATAGTTTTTCCAAGTTCCAACCGGGCAATATTCCTTAGGAAAGTGGCTGAAGAAAATGACATTATGAACAATTACTATCAACAGAGGTTTTTTGTACATGAGTGTTACAAATTTTCTGCAGAATGGAAAAAAATATTCATTAGTAGTGTATCATAAATGCAGTTATTTCACTTTAGAAATTCAAGATGTATATGTACATATGTGTGTGGCTTCTGCAGCTTTTGAGCCTCAGTGGGATATTGACTATTTTCTTCTGTGGCATTGTTATGTCACACTACACTTGGCACAATGTTACATTAAGCTCAAGGACAACAACCAAGTAAGGACATGATCTCTTAACTCTTTTTAAAAGGAAAAGATTAATAATCATTAATGTTCGTCAACCCTGAGAAATGCAATGACAATCACGTAGTTATGAGATTTATGAAAACCATATCATTCTACTGAAATATTATTTTTCTCCTCTCTTCCTTGAGTGTTATTGAGGTATCTAAACTCTGTTTTGATGCTTCTTTTTCAAACAAAGATGACCATGGAAGCAGGCAAAATAAATAAATTTTAACTAAACAAGTGAAACAATTTAGAATCCTAATTTGAAAAATACTTTCACTATTTCAGGCACGCCTTTGCAACCCTCTCATTCATTGCAGAAACTTTTATATTTATATGTGTTGGCATGGATGCTCTAGACATTGACAAATGGAAAAGCAGTAAAGGCAGGTAACCAGAAAATTCTCCATGTTGCACTTTAGCCAGGATCTTCAGCACCACTGATGCAACCATATATTTTCATCAAGGAAAACATAAATTCTACTTTAATCATTGTCATTTTCTTAATACATTACCATGTTGTTGGAGCAGTGCAGGAATTTCAGTTGCTGTGAGTTCTACTTTGTTTGCATTAGTGTTGATTGGAAGAGCAGCTTTTGTGTTCCCTATTGCATACATTAAAAATCGTATCAATACAAGAGAGAATACCAGAATTGAATTTCGTTCACAGGTGATAATTGTGGACTTATAATTCGACAACATTGACTTTTCAGTTGACCAAACTGAATTTTTGCTAAACTATTCAAAATGCCAGTTTATCATATGGTGGGCTGGCCTGATGAGAGGTGCAGTGACTATTGCCCTATCTTATAACCAGGCAAGTGCATGATATAAGGTTTTGTGTTTATATGTTAGTCAATGCAAATTTTGGTTTCAGTCTTTCATTATTTTAGTTTTAATTCTCATAAGTTTTAAAAATAGTTTTTATAATAACATGCTGTACATCTAGACATGGCTGATGCTATTTCAAAGTAGTAACTTTCATATCTAGTTGCAGTTATGTTATTGCTAAATAATTATGCAGATCATTTCAAAAGAAAATAATATTTGCAATGATCAAAATTAAAAAAAAAAAAGTTTGACTAAATCCAGGAGACTAAATCATCCGTGATGCTTTGAAATGTAGTTTGCAGAAGCCAAGAGTACATCATCAACTCAAGACTCTGCCTTAATGATCACTTCTTCTATAATTGTGGTCTTGTTCAGCACTGTGGTGGGTTTCATATAGATATAAACAGTCTTAATTTAATATCACTCAATTACTTTATTGTGAATTTTATTACTCATTTTTTAGTGTATTTTACTATCGTAATTTGCAGTCTTTATACATTTTTCTGATCAGTTGAATATATAAGTACTGGTTGAGGCCCCTTAGAAAAAGGTTCAAAATGACTTTGTTTTGATACAGTTTTTATTAAACAACATTATTTTGTTTCTAACTTTTGCAAAATGACATTATTTACTTGTTATAATTTTTTTTAGGAACACGCCAACCAGTTATTACACATTTAATATATGATAAACAATTATAGAATATAATGCTGATGATAAAATTCAGGAAATGATTACAATTGTGTAGTAAAATATACAAATATGTCAGATAAATAATATTACATGCATCAAGATCAAATAAAGTACTAATGTGGTTGCTCACTGCAAACAAACAAAAATTGTAAACAGGTATTTGGCTCCATTACTAAGCCACTGATAGAGGCTGTGCAACCAAGGCATCCAAAACCAACCAGTTTTGATTCCACTGATAACGTAGAAGATTTGAGATTCCTATTGCTTGAAAACAATGGTCCCATTAACCAAAGCAACAATATGCAAATTCAAAGGCAAAGTAGGATAAGGATGCTAATAAGCCATCCAAGCAAAACTGTTCACTACTTTTGGAGGAAATTCGATGACAAGTTTATGAGACCTGTGTTTGGTGGAAGGGGTTTTGTGCCTTTTGTTCCTGGCGAAGCAGCAGAGATTTTTTGAAACACAAACAATTTAGCTGCTTCTCTTCACTTTTTTCCTTCAATAACGTGGTGCACAACCGAACCTTGTATGCACTGTATGTTTGATACATCTTCTCTCTAAATTGCCGTCTGATCTCAGGGTGATCACGAGATGTATCATATATATTATCATGTAAGATTTTTGTTGTGATGATTTTTTGAAAAAAAAAAGTAATAAAGTTTTCAAAGAAGTTTGAATAAAGTTTGAATATAAAATTTTATGTAAACATCTAAGTCCTTCCTCGCTCCATTATGTTGGATGGATGATCCTTTTGCTCAATGATTTCTTGAATTGCGTTAAGCGACTTCCTGTTACTAATATTTTTTATGTATGTAGTGATTATGATATGATTATATAACACCAACTGCACAAGATTGTATTTAATTAGCTTTATACTGTTAAACTTTGAAATGTTCCAAGCGTGAATAAAGTTAGTTTCTTTGTCTTTAATCCTTTGAATATGTTCACATGGATATGAACAGATTGACAAGGGACATTGACAGGCGTCGACATCAGTCGCTACTTTTTTAAATATGAACTACGGAACCCCTCAAATAAAGAATCAACGGAAATAAACTGAAAGGATGATATTAAACAAGTTTTAGCTCAGCATTCATGTTTGAACCTTAAAAATGTCTTGAAGAAGGATTTATTTTCACCCATTTCAGTATACATTTTAGTATATAATAAGTTAACTTCTTTTATTGGAACCAAGTTTAAGAGATGGGGGCGGAGGAATATGTTCTCACGAGGTTCCCCACCATGGCTAATGATGTTGTTACACCTGAAAAGTAAAAGTTACAAGATTCATCTACTGTAGAGAGCCCCTCTTACATAATGCTTGTAAACCGATTTACCAGTATTGAGCGTTGGCCAATGTCTAATGTTCTCAGTCTCAGTAATTTATTCTTTTCTAGCATGCTGTTTCTGAGGTAGGGCTCTCCAGCCAATATCCCGACGGTAGAAGCCTCCAGGCCAATTAACATTCTCAACAGCTCGATAAGCTCGATCACATGCCTCTTCAAGATCATTACCCTTGGCAGTGACCCCAAGAACACGTCCCCCAGTTGCAATAAACCTTCCTTCAGAGTCAAATGCAGTTCCTGCATGAAATATCTTGATACCTGGAGCAACAGCCTCAGCTTCTTCAAGGTTTTCAATCACTGTTCCCTTCTGGTATGATCCAGGATATCCGTTACTTGCCATTACCACAACCATGGCAGACCCAGGAGACCACTTCAGTGATACCCCATTCAACTCTCCTCTGCATGCTGCGAGCAGAACTTGTACCAAATCAGACTCCAACCGTACCATTAAGACCTGTTCAAAATTTCAGAAGGAAAAATTATGCACACTATCCGTTAGCATAGCTTCCATGTTATTAACATATAACAGTGCAAATGTGATTATATGTTGTTAACATAGGTTGTACACTTTGTATTGTGAAAATAAACTGATGATTGTGCGTGTGGGCATGTGCTTGCGTTAAATAAGATCTATGATATCAATGAACTAGAAAGATGACTAAAAAAGCTTTGAAAGGGTAGGCCACCAAATTGCCAATTTGCAATTTGTAAGCAAATATAATGACCTCCCAAAACTCGGACAATCATAGAAAGATATTTAGACATCACAATCCCTTGACACATTTTTCAAACTAAAATTTCGATAAAAGGATTATAAAGAAAAAATGCAAGTCATATATCTAACCATGACATGAGCTCAATTCCTCAAGCATTAATTTTCAGTAATGTCTTCTGATTTCAAGACTATTGTATTTCAAGGTATAACTACTTACATCAGAAAGTAAATTCATTCTAGTAAGCATCTTATACTTAACTGACCTGGCACTCTGGATCACCAAATCGCACATTATACTCAATTAACTTAGGCATGCCAGACTTCTTCTCAATCATAAGCCCAGCATACAAAACCCCAACAAACTTGGAACCTTCAGCCGACATTCCTTTTACTGTTGGGATGATAATAGAATCCATTACAATAGATTGAAGTTCCTTGGTTAATATAGGAGCTGGGGAATATGCACCCATACCACCAGTATTTGGCCCTGTGTCACCATCACCAACTCGCTTATGATCCTGAGCAGATTCTAGTGGAATTGCATTTTCTCCATCAACCAATGCAAAAAAAGATGCTTCCTCTCCTTCTAGAAATTCTTCAACAATGACACGACAACCTGCAGAACCAAAATCACCCTGCACCAGCATTGAATCAACAGCTTTATATGCCTCTTCCAATGTCATGGCAACAGTAACTCCTTTTCCAGCAGCCAGTCCATCTGCTTTTATAACAATTGGGGCTCCTTGTTCTTGAATATATTGCTTTGCAGCAGATGGATCGGTAAATGTTTTATACTGCACTAGTAAACCCCAATTAATAAAAACTAACAAAAAATTCTTCAGAGTGAAATTGACATAAATAGGGTCAATGGAAAATGGAGGCACGCACATGATGACTTCACTAATATCATAAAAATGACTTCTTAATATATTCTGACTTGATTAATAGAACAATTAAGAGCCAAATGGGCAACATTCATATTTAATATCAAGGAAACCCTGACAGGTTATCAAAAATTCATATCCAGAAACCAACACGATATAGTTTTGACTAATCTGCTTACTAATTATAATTAGTATGTTACAGAATATACGAAGAAGCTCCTAATAAGATACAATACACGGAAGCATGCACAAATATCATTCCAGCAAAACTAGGAATAATTATTTATCTGGTTGATGAGATTCAAAATAAGAGAGATGACCTTGGCTGTTGGAATATCGTACTTGTCACACAAATTCTTCATGAAATTCTTAGAACCTTCCAAAGCAGCAGCCTCAGCAGATGGACCAAAAGTTGGGATTCCCGCTTTAACTAACTTATTCGTAAGACCTGCAACAAGTGGAGCCTCAGGTCCCACAACAACAAGTCCCACTCCCCTTTTCTGGCAAAATGAGATCACTGATTCTCCATCAGAAATATCAAGGTCTGAGATGCAAGTAGCATTTCCTGAGCTAGCAATCCCAGCATTGCCTGGGGCACAAAGTACTGTATCACAGGATGGTGATCGTTGCAAGGCATAGCAAAGTGCGTGTTCACGTCCTCCTCCACCAATAACCAGAACAGTCACTCTTTCTTTGAAGGAGGCACAAGGAAATTTGAAAGTAAGCAGAAAAATATCAGTAAATATAATAAAGTGAATAAAGACTGATATATAAGACACTGAATCTTCTTGACTCTGAAACTTTAACAGAAACAAAAGATTAAATCAGTTGCAATTGTCAAGAAACTATAAGCCACATGCATGCGGTTGTACACATTATATTATGTTCACAGCATTAATATCATTGGAAATCCCCATCATGTCAAAAAGTGAAAAACAAAAGTCACAATGGAAAATTATCCCTCATTGACCTGTTCAATAAAGACATTAGTTCCTATTGTCAGGCAGCAGTTTACCAATTACCGGAAACCTTTATTACATTAATATACCAAGTGTTTACACCTCACTGGAGAAAACAATTGTGAATTCAAGACTTTAAATGTGGTAAACGTATGCTAGAATAACCTATACTTGGATGTTAATGAGAATTTCAATCGGTATTAACCAAGAAAGGGCCAACCTCGACAACTTTGAAATTTACTTCATAATACAGAGTCTCTTCGATGATTTTCAGAACCATAGAGAAAACTACAGGTTACGTTAATGTGACCATTGAACGATGACGGTATTAGGGAAGGACAAAGTCCCTAAAAACCATAATGAAAATATATAATATCGCAATACAAAGACAGGAATGTGTAGATAGAATAACGGCAGTGCTTACGAGAATTGTTCTCTGTGTCAATGCCAACTGAAGGCGATGGTTGGGAATTCTGAGCAGCACATTTGAAAACACTATGGAATGAGCGTGAGGGTGCATGCTGGACAAAACTACGATTAGTGGGGCTCAAATCCAAGGTCTCGAAAAAGAGAGAAGAAAACTTGTGGAAAGTTGTGTGGTGTCTGAAACCAAGTGACTTAGAAACTGCATTCTTATTGCATCCATGAAGATTCAAAGAAAATGCAACATTGAAGGTGGCGCAAGACATTCTACTCCCTGTTACAAAATTATCCAGCTTTAGTGAAAACGGTATATAAGTGTAATCTTTCCAAGAAACGGCAAAAAGAAAGAGGAAAGAAAATATATATATTTAAAACTTAAAAAGCAGTCCCTTAAACTGAAATAAAACCCATTGAGTTAATTTATCAAACAGGTTGCGTACTTGGAGAATAAAGACGAAGTGTTGGCAAAGCCAGAGGGAACAATAAAGGAAAAAGTGGATTGATGCACCGAAAATGGTTTTAAAGGTACATATGCAGTGGCACAACCCAAGGTTAGAGATTACCGATATTGAACTTGATAGTTAGAAAGTAATGAAATGAATTTTACCTAGGAATCACGATCCTCCTCTCACACACAACCAACCTTGTTCCAATGTTTCTCCGACAAAAACTATGAGCGCCGTCTTGTGTTTTTTCCCCCTTACCCCTTCAAAAAAATTACTGGTAGTATTATTAAATGTAAAAAATGATAAAGGTTCTATCACCACCTATTGAATAAATTCAAACACTTTCTCTCTCTTTCTCTCAGTAGAATTTAATATAAAACTCAAGAGTATGATATATATACATAGGAAAATCTTATTTTAACAATTTTTTTATAACTTTTCTTACAACTACCAATAGCTCATTATTAGTCAATTTTAAATATTCAAACTAATAAAATAGTAATATATATTTTATTGTTAAAAAAAGTGGTTAAAAATAATTGTGTGAAGATACTCCTCTATCTCTATATCTACCTCTATCTATCTCTATACTATATCTCTCTCTCCCTCTCTCTTTTCCTCTCTCTTCTATATCTCATGTCCTATCTACTACTCTCTATACTCCTGCCAAACCAATTAGAAATTTTAAAGGTATTCAAACCAAATATAAAATTAAAAACTAATGTGCTCGCCAGTTACATTTAATATGTCTGTATTTAATTTGTGCTAA